CTTCAAACAGTTAATTCATGAGAGATTGAAAAAATGTCTCACAGTTCATTTGAGCTTAATGTGAGACCAAATATTCACTATAAGGTTTCAATCTGGACTCTGGCCAGGCCAAAACATGAGCCTGATGGAATTGTTCTTAAGCCACTTTTTGGTTGTCTTTGCAATTTGAGAAGGAGCATTGTCTTGTAAAAAAAAAACCCAACAAAACCCTGATAATTCCTCTTAAGCAAGTTATTCTGCAACATTCTCCTGTACATCAAAGCATTAATGACTTTTCAGTGAAGTAGCCCACCAATACCAGCAGCTAAAAAGGCTCCTCGGACAATGCCAACTCTTCCTCCATGTAGTCTGTCACCATCACAACAACTGACAAATGAAGGTTAGGCAAGCTTCAAGCTTCCTCAGTAGAATATAGAAACCCTTTGAGTTTGCACAATAACAATGTGAGACTTCTAATGAAGTCTCATGGGAGAGGCTCTGCACACGTCATCTGAAACAGGCATTTTACACTCATTTAATATTTACAAAAGCTAACATTTCCTCATCTTTATGTATCCTGACCGGAGCATAATTTTAATTTGACTAGAGTGTGTTTGTAATCATGGGTGTAGCCTTTAATAAAAAATAAAATTTAATTTACCAATAGCAATATCAAAATGAGCAGCACTTGCCTTGTTAAATATTCATATGGTTTATACAGTCGCAGACACTTTTATGTGTTGTATTTGTTTTCAGTTTTGGAAATATACTGTTAAATATACCAAACATTTACAAATATACTATTTTCAACCGAAATTATAGTTATGCCCTTTTGTCTACTTCCTATTCTGAACAGTTTCAACTGTCTTTAATCAGCAATCTGGAAAACAACAGCTTGCTACCTGCTTATATTTTGAGTGAACCTTTATCAAATATGTGTTACAGAGTTCTCCCATAGTGCATTGCGATATATAATGAAAAGCGCATGGGTGGGGATAGATAAGCAACAGCCGGAAATGATGGGCCTCTCCTTTATGTACACGACAGCTGTAAATGTTGCTTACCGTATGCAAATTGTCAAAACAAACATTTTCATTCCAGCCACATACAAGTGGAATAAAACGTCACCACCATTACAGACAGAACAGGGCACATTTTATACAGACATATGCATTATCTTTAGGCAATACAACCTAGTTGTGCCCAAATTACACACTATACACTATGTATGCACTCAACTAACTAGTGTATGAATTTTATAAGGTTATTTTCAAACGTTCCAAAGTTGTTTTTTAAAGTGCATTTGAAGAACACTTTTTCTTTTTGGAATTTTCAGTGCGAACACACTACTCGCACTATTTAGCTATACCACAAAAAATCCCATAGAATAGTGCATAGGTACACAAAAAATTGGACACACCTACTGTAATAATAAATGAATACAAAAAGAAACAACTGGGAGAGTACACATAGTAGATACTATTTTTCTAATGTTTGGGAGTGGCAAGTACATTTAGTTAACAGTGAGAAGGGCAGAGCTCTTACGTATGTAAAGTTATAGATTTTAGTGAAAGTGATGGTCATCTTCGTAGTAATGACACATAACATCAAATATTAATCATCAGTTATAGCCTATACTAAGTATGTTGTGGAAGAGGCTGGCAGTAGTGCAAGCTCAGGTGTCAGTTTTTGCCTTCATTCAGACCACGTGTGATCATGAAACTATATTAAAATAATACAATATTATTATTAATAATAATACAAATCGCAGAAAGATCCAGGAAGCTACAGCCTAACGGAGAGTACATATTAAAGTATTAAAAGTTTTACAAAAATAACTTTATTTATAGCAATTATGGTATGTTAGCGAAAAATTATGGTTACCATGGTTAACACAAAACGTTAGTAAGGAGATCTAGCCTTGCAGTCAGTGTGTTTAAAGGGATAGTTCGGCCAAAAATTATATTTAAACCATGCATTACTCACCCTCAAGCCGTTCGAGATGCATATGTCAATCTTGTTTCAGACGAACACATTTTCAGTTATTTTAGAAAATGTCTTAGACCCTTCAGTGGATATAATGTGAAGCAATGGGGTCCACATCCTTCAAGTCCCAAAATGTGCATATATCCTTCACAGAAGTCATCCATCCGGCTCCAGGGGGATAAACGAAGGCCTTATGAGGGTAATCCGTGCGGTTTTGTCGTAAAAATATACATATTTAAAACTTTATAAATGAAAATATCTGACTTCCGGCAACGATCGACGCGCGTTCACGGGTGATGTTTTGCTCTGCTCTCTGCATAGCTCTCTGGCTGCGCGGGCGCGTTCGTTCTACGTCACGACGCTACGTCCTACCTCGTACGCCGACTTCCATCACCCGTGGACGCGCGTCGATCGTTGCCGGAAGTCAGATATTTTTATTTATAAAGTTTTAAATATGTATATTTTTACGACAAAACCGCACGGATTACCCTCATAAGGCCTTCGTTTATCCCCCTGGAGCCGGATGGATTACTTCTGTGAAGGATATATGCACATTTTGGGACTTGAAGGAGGTGGACCCCATTGCTTCACATTATATCCACTGAAGGGTCTAAGACATTTTCTAAAATAACTGAAAATGTGTTCGTCTGAAACAAGATTGACATATGCATCTCGAACGGCTTGAGGGTGAGTAATGCATCGTTTAAATATCATTTTTGGCCGAACTATCCCTTTAAATGTGTTTAATATAAGTCTGTCACCGTTTACTCAACCTAATGGAAGGATGTTAGAGAGACTGACAGCGCCTGTTACTATTCTCATCTCTCTTTTTTTCCTCTAATGAAACTGAATGATGACTGAGGATGTCATTCGGCCTGACATGATATCTCATTTTGTTTTCCACCGAACAATTAACGTGATAAGCGTTTGGAACAGCATAAGGTTGAGTAAATATGACAGATTTTCATTTTTAGGTGAACTATCCGTATATACCGTCGCGTCGCATGTAGAGACAATCCTTCACATTACCTGCCCGGTTATGCCTGTAATGATGGCCACTTTCCTCTTCGTCTTGCTGCCTCCGTTCACATCACCACTGGCCGACGCTGCTGGACACTGAGCCATTGTCTGGAGCTGGTTTCGGTTCGGACTGAGTCTTTGGGGTTGCTACCTGCGCGATCGTTTATAACGTACAAACCTGCAAACACATCCGAAACCCCACCGGCACTCCTTGAGAAACACATCAGGAACCTGCACTCAGCGGCCAATCACAGACCAGAGCGCTAGTGACGTACGCACCACAGAATAAAGAGGAGACAAATCCTGTTTGCTTAGGGCGTACAAGTATCACAGCGTCCTCTAAAGGACTCGATGTTCAGGAGGAATTAAACAAACAACTTTTTACTTTATCTCTTCATTTTAATTATTATTATTATAATAACAACACGATCATAAATATTATATATAGATATATTATTATTATAAACAATATAAAATAATAATAATAAATAGATTTTTTCCTAGGCCTAAATCACTGCTGAAAAAAATAGCCTAAGCAGCTTTGCTGGTCTTCCAGTCTGGTCAAGCTGGTCTGTTGGCTGGTTTTAAACACTAAAGGGGTTTTAGATTCACGTCGGTATTGACTGCATCATAGCCGTAGATCTAGGTTTTTAAATGTTGGATATTAATTCATATAATTTTGGATACAGCACAATGTGAGGTAAAGTGACGTGAAGGCCAAGTATGGCAACCCATACTCAGAATTTGTCCACTGCATTTAACCCATCCAAATCAGTGCAGTCACACTCATCAGGAGCAGTGAGTAGTGAACACACACACACCCGGAGCAGTGGGGGTTAGGCGCCTTGCTCAAGGGCACCGTTTCCTGTATGCACGACTGCCCCCCATGCATGTTACATATAAAAGAAGAGGAAGGAATGAGCGAAACAATCAAATGTTTTTTAAAATATATTTAGTTTAATTTAGATAATATTTAAAGTTCTAAGGCACATACACCACATAAGGCACTTACAACAATATACAAGAACTAATATACTAAATATTATTAATATAGTATTGACATGTTTTAATTTTTCCTGCTAGTTTATGAGCTATATTTCAGCCTTCTTTAATCCAGTCCTCACATATACAGAAAGCGAAATCAAACATATAAATTAATAAATCTTTTCTCATTTATGATTAAAAATGAGACTTTCAAAACATCGGTAGGTAGTGTTCTGTTTTTTTAATTTGCCTTCATGGAAGGTGAGATGTTTACTACAAAGAGAGGGAGTGAGCCAGTCTTGGATCCAGTGTCCCAGTCTCAAATTTCAAGCTTAAAAAAAAAGTCACAAAAAAAAAACCCCCAATACAATAAAGTCTGAGATCAGCAGCTTGAGGCATTAGCTAAGCATTTAAAGCTCATGGGATTCTGAACAATTCGTTTTATACAATACATTTGCCCTAGAGGAAACCCTCTAAATGATATTATAGAATAAAATATGGTAAGTGAGAGGTGCATTTGGGGCATGGCTATTTGTGACAGATAACAGTAGGTACAAGCACACAGAAAAACTCAAAACTCTGTCACTTAGAACTCCTGAAAAGCATAAAAGACATAATGTTTCATTTGCAGGATTACATTAAGGTATCTAGACTTTCAAGTGTAAAATACAGTACGGTAGTTCCTGTGCGAATTTCAGTCTAAACAAAACTCCAATGCCCTCACAAATATCACGTGATTGAAATGTTACCATAAACCTGTGACATACAGAATATTACCATGATAAGACTCAGTACAGTTGTGCATAATATAGAGTATAGCTGAAGATTTCTCTTTTGCACTTTTAGCCATAAACATCCTTCTTCCAGTCCTGTCCTATTATAAAGTGCACATGTGAGACCAAATAACTGTAGTATTAACTATCTGTAGTATTTTTTTAATAAGGCAACAGCTAAAAGACAGTTAAAACCCACTTAAACCGAGACAAGAGCACAGGGCTAGTTTGTCATGCAGCCATAAATATTGGTTACCATTTTACAAATGATGAAATATTTTTGTAACACAAGAGGAGAGCAGTATTTTTAATGTGTTGAATTCTGTTTTAGTTTGAAGTTGAGGTAAGCAAGTAACATACATGTCCAGTACAGTATGTGACTGTAATATTAAACAGATGTTGTGTAGTTGTTCAGGTACAACAGTATTGGTCCAGTTTGTCACCACGGCACAAGGAGAGCCAATGATCACTTCTGCAGAAAACAAGAAAATTACTGTTATCCCCCAGTGAAGTTAATCATATGAGACAGTCAATGACATACAAAGTGCAATCAACTGAGTTTTATCATTTATTGTTATCGGCTAATTGTTCAAGTCAAAATGAAAGGGAAGTAGAAACAGATATTTTTTTCCATATTGTGACATGCATCAATGTGTAATGGGTTGTCGGAAAAAAATGTAGGACTTGGTTACGGTACATCCATCGGTTGTTGATTGGATTTTAAGATGCGTTGTGCTCAAAAGTTGATGCAGATAAATGTGGCTTTGCAAAAGTGAGTTTAAGCAGACTAAATGATTGTAAAATTTCTGCAATTTCCTGCATACATCGTTTACCAGAAGATTTTGATTAAACATTACAAGGTCAAATCATTTTTTTTATTTTTTTATTAAATGGGTGCAAGGATGAACTGTTCTCAATAAGCTCTATATAATGCATTTAGAAAACAGATGGAGTGAATTTTTTATTTCACGTCGATGCATCTCTTACCTGTTTAGCCCTCTGGGGGAGGGGCATGTGAAGAGTGACACTTGTTTTTCTGTCAGAGAAACACATTCATTAATTATCTTAATTTGCATTCATTCATTAAAACTACTATCAAAAACTCAAGGCTGTTATTAACCTTATGGTGAAGACGGAAGTGAAGCGCTCTGTCTGAAAGCCATGGGTGTTTCAGGGACTGGGATGCACTCATTCTCCAACTGCATGAAAAAAGAAATATGCATCAAAACACAAACATACTGGTAAAAAAAGTCCGATTTTTGTCAGATTAAGCCAATTTCTGGGGACACACAAACCTTTTGCTCTTCACAAGCAGGCGTGTGATAAAGTCTTTGGCCTCCTCGGAGATGTCGGCAAACTCTGCCTCTTCAAAACTCCACTGACATGCCAGGATATTATTTAGCGTCTCATTATCATCCTCACCCAGGAACGGAGACAAGCCACTGAGCCTAGAAACACAAACAGAAGTACGTTTTCACAAAACTTCCTCCTTTTGTATAATTATGATTGTTCATTGATGTCTATGTTACAGACTCACAGCATGTAAGTGATGACACCTAAACTCCACATATCGGTTGGGAATGAGACAAATTCATAGTTGATGACTTCAGGAGCCAGGAACTCAGGAGTACCAAAGTTCACCCTCAACTTTTCCCTGGGTTTATATCTGAAAGGAAGATGAAGAACAAATCGGTGTGAGAAAAACAGTAGATTCATGAAGATACAAATGAAGAAACACAGACACAGATACAATTACTTACCTCCTTGCAAGCCCAAAATCGATTATCTTGACCTTGTTTGTTTCTCGACTGACACAGAGAATGTTTTCAGGCTATTGAAACAGTAAAATGTATTCAGACTTGTTGTTCTTATGCTGCTGTTTTAATTACATTTTATTTAAAATAATGTGTTACCTTTAGGTCAAGGTGTAATATGTACATCTTGTGCATATACTGAAGACCTTCACTGATTTGCCTGATGAACAGCACTGTGTCCAACTCGGTCAGCTTATAGTTCTCATCTATGATCCGGTCGAACAGCTCTCCACCATCAACACTAGGCGGTACACAATATATGTTAGCAGCACATTCTGTGATTCAAGTTAAAGTTCATTCTGTGATTCACATTCAAGTGATTCTTAAATACGCTAGGAGAAAGAAAGCATGAATGAGATTTAGTTAGTGAGAGAGGCTGTCTGTATGTGAGACAGAGATGTATGTGTTTGTGGATGTAACTTACTACTCCATCACTAGAATGATTTCATGTCGAGATTCAAAGGCGGCGTAGAGCTGGATCAGATTGGCGTGATTCAACTGGTTCATCACTTCAATCTCACACTTTACTACCTCCTGACAACACAAACATGTAAAATCTGTGATTCATTGCTACACAATTATAAGCAACGGGTTCTCACTTTTGTTCATGGACCAGTGTTGTTAACTAAATCTAAAACTATTACAAATAATTTCTGTTAGTTGAAATAATGCTGAAATAACATAAAATATAAATATTAGATTAAAATTTGGGAAACATGAAATTAGAAATCTTGCTGTCATAGTGGTGTTTGGTTTAGTTTGTTTTCACTTGGACTAGGGTTAGGTTAGGGTTAGCCTGTCATCACGTCACGTGTCATCTTCACTGTCATTATCAGTTCAGCTGTGTTTCGTTAATCACTGTCATCTGTGTTTGCATTTAAGTTCCGTTTGTTCATTCAGTCATTGTCCGATCTCTGTTGTAAATAGTGTGTGTTGCTGCCTGTTCTGTTGTCCTGTATTTATGATCATCATCATTAAACCTTCGTGTTGAAAAGATACCTTCATCTTGTTCTGTCTTCCTGCAACCACCCGTAATACTTGCCTTAGCAACTAACTAAAATAAAGCAACATTTAAAAAAAAAATATATATATATATAAAAGCACAAAACAAATACTATAAAAGTAAATGACTGACTCCACCCGCACACAGTGTCATTATATCACCAAGTGGTCCATAAGTTGATTGGCTGATTAAAACTTAAACGTAACTGAAAAATTAGAACCACCACCTTAAAGTCATAGTACTGATGTCTTAAAATGGACACAGGCATTTACCTTCTCTTTCTGGCTCCTGGCTTTGATGATCTTGGCTGCTAATATGAGTCCAGAAGATTTTTCTTCACATTTGTGAACCATCCCAAAGCGTCCTCTATTACAATCAAAATAAGACAATACAATTTTAAAATTGAAAACAAACATATTTAATGCACAAACACACCCCATTTAAAGTCTAAATTCCCACATTCTTTGTAAGGCCACAGAGGAAATTCCCTAAATCTCCTTTCTCTAGCTATTCACTTTCACCAAGGTCTAAAAATATGTTGCCCGTTGTAAGACTGGAAAAACTGTTAGGCGGATGACAGAAAGTCTGGACTGAGAAACTACTCCTCAAGGAAACAAAGGACTCTCCTGAGAATTAACATTTGAACACTCTCTTGCATAAGTAACAACGCCATCCGAGCGGCACATCACTGAGCAGTTCATGCTTCACCCTTACAATCTCCTCATCACCCATCTCTTCTCTCCTCATGCTGGGATAACCCACAGATCTATATGGTTTAATGTGAGCAATTATCATACAACACTATTCATGTTTGGTATCATTTGAAATGTCTCTGTGCGACTGGTACAATGGTCTCATCCCCACAGATGTAAACCAAAAAGCCAATAAAGGTTTTAAGAGTTTAAGCCCCGTTCACACTACACGCGACCAAGCGACGCGATACCATTCATTTCAATGGGGAGCTGGCGATTTCCGGCGACACGCGCGACAGCGACCGTTGGCGACCGGATGGGGCGTGTCTGGCGACGCGACAAAGTTGAGACCTGTTTAACTTTATGCAAATGAGGAGCGAATTTCGGGAGCGACAACCAATAGGAGCGGAGCACGTATGACCCTTCTCCACATCATTGGATGTCATTCATAAAGGCAACCAGTAGTGGGAACTCCCACTAGCGACCTCATCGCCAGCCACTGGCGACATGCAGCGACAAAGTCGCTTGTAGTGTGAACGGGGCTTTAGAGATATCTTGCTTACAGAGGAGGGTGGGTCTTTCATGCAAACGCCATCCTGTCCTCAAAAGGTGTAAACTCTGAAGACCATGATTGATGCAAATTCCCATTGTTAGCACATGTTTCCATGTGAAAGAGGTTTCTGTCTTGGGCTGATTATTTAAAGAGATGTTTCAAGAGGCTCAGTGCGATTTGTAATGAGATCAGCCTGTAATGCTGAATGTCATAAACTTTCACATGTCTTTTCATCTTTCGTTAAACGGCCGGCGCGAAGACCTCAAAGCGACATAGATATGTAAAATATAAAGTAAAGAGTTAAATAGAATAATCAAATGTGTAGCGAAACTATTATGTACATGACCAATAATAACCAATTGGCATTCCAACCTAAATTCGAGGTTGTGATAAAATGGAGTCAGATAAAAGTTTAATTGGAAATAATTAGTTTGCCACGCTGAAAAGACAGAAACCTTCATCCGCTTATCGGAAACTGTTGTTGGACAGGCCTTACAACATCTCTCTCTCTCTTAAAGTTTTTCCTTCCAACACACACACACGTCTGTCATTTTCATCCCCTTGTGTATCATGTGTCCTGTAAGCTCTAAAATGCTTAGGAATCTTATGCCATGGGTTTAATATCACAGGCATCCTGCTTTAAAAATTCCTCTGATGCTAACCAGCCTATCGTAATATGATGTAAGATTAATATCTTCTGTAACTCACCCCCCGAGAACTTCCTCTTTATTGATAGTGTAGTAGCTGGTAATCTGGTGGGTTTTGGGTGTCACAAGACGGTGCTCAAATGGTGCAGGTGGGGGAGGGGAAGAATCTGTGGAAAAGATTAGAATATGTAACTAGAAAAGGGAAATATAGGCTATCTACATTATTCTCAGACCTATAGCAATTTTCTTACCAATGACATATTCGTCAATTTCTGACTCTGCATCTGTCCTCTCCTCTTCTGTCCCCGCCTCCAGTCTCTCTGGTCCAGCCTCTGCAGCTTCAAGTCCTGCCTCCTCTTCCTCCTTTAATTCCTTATCCTCTTCCTCTGACGCCTCCTCCACTCTGCTTTTTTTAAGGTCATCTGTCAGAGTCTCGTCAGCAACATGCCTCTTAGTGCTGAAAGTTATTTCCAGATTCTCCTCACAGCTATACGAGTGTATCAAGGTAGAGAGAGGTATCAAATATAAAATACATCTTAATTTAGTATATCAAAGTACTTCAAAATTTATTTCTTTACATAAATTAACTGTATTGAAGTTTTAAAATTTGAAATGGAATATGTTTATTTTGGAATATCTTTTTTTACTGACACTATGCTTCAAAAGTTTGGGGTCATTGAGATTTTTATTATTCAGCAAAGACATTTATAAAGTTTTTTTATTTCAAATAAATGTTCTTTTGAACGTTCTATTCATCAAAGAATCTTGATAAATATTAAGCAGTTTTCAACATTGCTAATAATAATATGTTTCTTGAGCAGCAAATCAGCATATTAGAATGGTTTCTGAAGGATCATGTGACGTTGAAGACTGAGAAATGGCTGCTAAAAAAGTATGAGTTGCTGTCACATTAATCATTTTTACAAAATTACAATTTAAAGTAATTGTTTGCTACTTTAACAACATTTCACAATGTTACTGTTTTTACTGTATCAAAATAAGAATTTCAGCCTTGCTTTTAAGAGACTTTTTCTCAAAAAAACATTAAACAAATCTTAACCCCAAGCTTTTGAATGGGTGTATTTATTTACACTGAATCAATGTCAATTTATTTATTCTAAGCATATTATTTGTTTTGTAATATTCAGATGAAATTTTGCAGGGTTTAATACTTCTGATCTTTATTTGAAAGTCATTTACTGAACAAAATATTGAGGATGTACCTGTCTGGTGTGCTTTCATCAGTCTGGCCAGATGAACTTGGAGCAGCTAGTTGCCTCTCCTCTGATAACCATAATGCCTCCTCTTCCTTTGACCTCTCCTCTTCCTCCTTTTTATCCTCTTCTTTTATCTGCAATAATTCAGCAACGATTTCTTGCTCTCTTGCCTCGTCTTCCACTGCAGCCTCATCCTTTCTATCCTTATAGCAGTCTCCTTTTTGCTCCAGGTGTGCAACTGTGCCAGCTGCTGTCTCTGTTGTGCATTGAGAAAGCTGATTGTTCTGTTGATTGAGCTTTTGCACTTCTTCAAAACCAGCCTGAACTAAGTCTGGAAAAGGGGGGGATTAGTAGCCTACATACAAAGATGGAAATAATGGAATAAAATAGTGACCCAAAATAGCACAGAATCTTAAACATTTCTTCATTTTTATGTCAAACATTTCTTTGTTTTAAATCTGACAAAATGCTAAACCTTTCAGCTTATTTCCAGGTTCAAATTAGATTTGGAATCCTATATTGTCAATGTGATTTCTAGCTTTTGAACCCTACTGTATGTTTTTTCTCACCTGATGCTTCCAGTGGTTTCTTTCTCTTCTGGGTTTTTAGCCCCTTTGGGTATACTTTAGATTTCTCCTTCCCATCCTTTTCTCTAAACTAGAGAGAGAAAGAAACGACAGGAGAGAAAGAAAGAAGAGAGACTTTACACAAGTTTAAGTCTATGGTCACAAGATTATCATTTATTAACACACCTTTAAATAAAAGCACCTGCTTTCAAGCTATTCATTGACATGTATTTTCATTACGCCGAGTTGCTAACGTGCAATTAAGCAGATATTTCTGATCACACACAATCATCTGCTGTGAGTGTCCTTGAGCTCACTCATCATGTCATCAGTCAATCTGTTTTATAAATGGCTCAAACCAATGACAAAGACAATGAGACTGACAACTCATGCTCTAGAAAATCCCCTGTTGGAAATGCAGCAAAACCAAACTCATTTGGAAAATAAATACAGAACATTTAATGTATAGGCCTATGCATCAAACTTTTTTTAACATTTACGTCACATAAAAGATGCCAAACTTCACACAACATGAAAAGCAAATGTGTAAAATACTCAAGTCAAATATACGGAGAAAAAAGACAAATGTTTCTTCTCTTGTACACTGTAAAAAAAAAGTTGCTATTGTTAAGTACAATCAACTTGAATGCTAAAGTCATTTCAACTTAAATTACATTAAACTGACTTAAAAAATGGAATCTTGTATAACTTAAAAAAACATTTGAAAACTGCTTAACATATTTTGATGAGTTAAAGCAATGTAAAAACATATGTTGTCATAACTTATTCATCATATAATTTGTAGTGTACAAAAGTCCACTTTTATTGAAGACCCTCTTTTTTGGTCAGCTGCTTCATAGACTTTACTAATGCGTGTTTGTATATTGAAAAATATACGTTTGTTTTTGTTAGTTTGTTTGGCTGATTCAATTTTACTTTTTAATGTAGTTCAACTTGGCATGACAATTAGAGTATTGCCAAATAATTTTAAGTGTATAAAATATTAATTCTTTCACTACTTTATGAGTGTTTTCCTCAGGAATACGAACCTAAATGAGTGCTTTTAAACATTTTAAAACATTTAAACTCACCCTGCTGCTGGATTTTGAGTTTTTCAAGAGATCAGCCAATCTCGAGTGTTTCAACACTTCAGCAATGAAACTGACAACCTGTTGAATGCTGCTAACCAGTCGCTCCAAAGCATCAAGTCGCTGATCTTGTTGTTCCTCGTTCTCTCGAACAGTTTCTATGACAGCACGCATGTCACACAACAACTGTTCAATGCTCCGTCCACCGGTAGCTGTTCCTTGATCTTGACCGATGGTATCCAGTCGTCTCAAAGACGCTTCCTGCAAGGCGAGGAGTTTGTCTATCTTACCACTCAGATCATTGACTTGTCCTTCAATATGTACAAGAGCAGAAGATGAGGAGGATTTTGATGAAGGCTGATCAGAAAGTGGTGAAGATAGACGTTTGTTTGAGGTAGAAAGCGAAGCTCTTCTCGTTGTGGCTCTTCCGCATCGTTTCTGAGCATGAAGTGGTTTGGGGTCATAAACCCGAGCAAGAGACTTCACAAGATTAGAACTCATGATGAAACGCGTCAACACAACAGGTTTAAAACAAATAGAAGTTTAACTTGTTCTCTTCACGTCTTCTTGACAATGCTTTCCAACCTACAGATCATTGGTTCCCCTTCTCATTCTCTCTTGTTATCCATCTGTCTGGTGTCTCTAGCTTCTAAAACCGATGCGTTTTATAGAGGTCCTTCTGCCTATTGGCCGGTGTGCTAGCGGTCAGTGTTATCATCTGGAGGAGGGGCTGCTGTGTACGATTAGAGTGTGAATCCTAGAGCCAGGTGTGAAGACACTGAAACCAGAGTGGGTGCGAGAATAGAGCTTGATGGACTCAAAGAGTGACGTATCAACACCACTGACAGAACTTTTAAATGAAGAGACTGTTAAACCAGTAGATTCCCCCTGATTGACTGACAATCAACACCTCAGATATAGGTCTGTTTCCATATGTTACTTACGTAACCCTGATTCATTCGTTCCAGGCTAGAGAACACAATGAGCCAAACAAGTGTTTGATTGAACAAGAGGAGGTGAGCACGGCTGAGTCAACTGAAAAACTGGGACAGAAAAGCTGCTGAGAAACTGAAATGGCTCAGAGGTCAATTTTCAACGTGGTTCCACTGTTTTATTGTTCGGAGAAGCTCTATAAAGATACTGATTTTGAACTACTTTGCATGATAAAAATGCTTATATCATCACGAATAAGAATGCAATATGATACAGTAGCTATAGGCTGCCTTACAGCCAATCTTTTAAAAGGAAAGAAAATGTGTTGACAGAAATTCACAGAAATGTTTGCCACAATGTTTGTCATGCAATATCAGGGAATTTTAAAACTGTGATTTGATTTCCAGTGACGTAAAAAGTAATGGAAATTACTACAGTCATTGCATATTTCATTAGTTATTTATTTGTTCTAGTATAAATAAATTATGTATTACTTTTTCTAGATCTATTTTAAAAGTTATGTTCAGCTCAAAATATTGAACAGACAAGCAATTACTCCTTGCAAGTGTAATATTTATAAAATGTTTTTAGCCTTTATTCAGAAATCATCAAAAACTGGGAAAGTCATGGAAATTTCTTCAATGAATATAAATAGTTCTATACTTACACTCAGTTCAAAATATTTAATTGGGTATAAATTATTCTTCGCAAATGTATTATCTAAAAAAATTTTTTTTTTTAATCCCATAGATTCCTGAAAAATCTGAGGAGTGTGTGGTCACATAACCTATGCAAGACCTTTTCCACAATCTTCCTAATCTTTCATCCTGTCAGGAGTGAACTGGCCTATTGCTAAACTTTCCTGTTTGCAATATATAGAAGAATCTGACGTCCAATATCCATTATTTTAGTCACCCGTAGGAATATGAATTTAATAAAGAATCAGCTAAATTCACAGATTCACACAAGTAAAGAGAATGGCAGTAAGCGGAGACAATCCTCAAACACACGCACAAACAGGTGCTACAGTATACTTTTACCATACACAGATAGATATAGTCCCGCTAAATGGCCTTTTCACACGCTACACTGAAACCCGATAGCTTGTAGGCCTATATATTAAAAAAACAGCCACGCGGAGGGACAGATAACATTTAATACAATAATCTTATTTTAGCCTGGGTCGTTATGAGTCACACTGTATGTGATAGGCCACCTCATTACAAGCAAGCAGTCGATTGCTTGGAGCAGTAGTGGTCTGTTTTCTGATTGGCTGATGTATTAATAGCCGCTGAACATTCAGTAATCTCGGGAGGATAGGTGGCACCTTTGGAATGGGAACTTGATAATGTGAAGTGAGCTCTACCATTCTGACAACAAGCGTTTATAAAAAGAGACTAAGTCCTCACATTCCTTTGTGTGTTGGGGTGTTTTTGTGTATGGCTACATGCCTGACTGTATGTATTTGTGATTTAATTACAGATTACAAAACCATCTAGACTCGATGTGTCATTTATGAATGTTTATATCGGAATGTGTTTTGAGATGCATTTCATTGCATAAAACACATGGGTTCAGTCAGTGAGGACAGAGAGACGGTCAGTTACTCATGACCTTTATCCACTGGCTCTCTAAAATAATGAAAGCTTTTCCATAAATATCAAAGCCAAAGGTTTGAAATAATTAAGATTTTTTTTATGTCTTTGAAAGAAGTAGGCTATATGTTCAATGAGGCTGCATTTCTTTGATTAAAAAAACTTAAAAACTTTAATACTGTGAAATGTTATAACAATTTTAAATAACTGTTTCCCATTTGAATATATTTTATAAAATGTAATTTATTCCTGTGATGGCACAGCTGAATTTTCAGCATCATTACTCCAGTCTTCAGTGTCACATGATCAATTTGCAAAACAAAATTCAGGATTCTTTGATGATTAGAAAATTACCAAGAACAGCATTTATTTGAAAAAGAAATCTTTCTTAACATTATGTCTTTAATGTCACTTTTGATCAATTTAATGCATCCTTGCTGATAAAAAGTATTATTTTTTTATTTATTTAGTAATTTAATTTAAATCCTACTTAGGGGAGACCGGGGATGGTTGTAACACGGGTCAGTTGTAACAATTCCAATCTGTCCAATCAGGAACTAGTTACAAATCAACTGATTCACTTCACACATGCAAAGTTTTTTGCCCTGTGGCAGAAACAGCAGTTCCCTTTCGAACGGTCACTTCGTATTGCGTAGCTATACGCAGTGGGGAAACTCCCTTTCCTCGATTTACTGAAGCTTATATGTAAAACGCATTTGCAGCTGCACAGCCAGCCCCCTGAGCGTCTGACCCGCTCATAGGCTGTGCTGCAGCAACTGCACATCCAATGGCGCGGGCGACTCTGACGCACAACCAATAAGCTAGCCCAACGTCAGAGCCCGTCGAGGGGGCGTGCCCCGCCTATATAGACCCCCGAATTCGCCATTATAGCAGATTTTACTCCTTCAGCGACAGTACACATGTCCCTGAGCTTTTTACTGTAGCATTCGCCGTCGAACAAGCCTTTCAGCCTGAGCGTGCTTCTCTTCAGCAGACTTCGCCTGCACGTCGATTTCTCCTGACGCCGTCTCACCTGTGGCTATCCGGCGACATTATATCCTTTGTTCTATATTGTTAACATTCTTTTCAGTATGCCTCGTCCATCCTGCGCCACGTGCGGAGGCCGTCTGCACGAGGCAGACCAGCACACGAGCTGCATTTCCTGCCTGGGGATCTACCACGCAGAGAATACTCTCTCTGCCGGCGGATGTGAGGCCTGTGACTGCATGCCTATATCCGCGCTGCGCAATCGGCTAGCTCTCTCCCGGGACGGCGACGCCGCTTCATCCACGCTTTCCGTTCCAAGGAAGAAGAAGCGTCGCAGCCAACGGCAACCGGAGGGTATGGAGATTTGTGAACGCACGCCGGCCGCGTCCCCGCTTGCTTCACTTTCTCCGACTCAAACGCCATCACCGGTCCGGTTCGCAGGAGACCAGCGCCCCCCCCCCCTCACGTGGCGGGCCTCGTCTCCTTCGGCGGATCTCTCGAGCGCGACGACAGCTTATCCATCGCCGCTTCTGAGGACGAGTGGCCGGGCTCTCTCGACCCCGTCACCGCTTCTCAATCGGTGGCCAGCGGATTAGCGACCAGGACGAACTCCGACGCCGAGATGCTTCGGATCCTGACGAAGGCCGTCGCGGACCTCGACCTCGAGTGGGCCTCGCCCGAGGAGCCGCCTCGTAGTCGGCTGGATGGATGGTTTCTGGAGGGGCGCCAGCAGGCCCCGCGTCACAAACCGGCGCCATTTTTCCCCGAGGTCCACGAGGAGCTAACCAAGGCCTGGCGCGCTCCATACTCAGCACGTGTGGGATCCGCAGTTTCCGCGACGCTCTCTTCCGTGGATGGCGCAGCGGAAAAGGGTTATGAGTCTTTGCCGCCCCTCGAAGAGGCCGTGGCAGCTCATCTTTGCCCGAGCTCTGCAGCTAGCTGGCGAGCTAGAGCCGCTCATCCCAACAAACCCTGCCGTAACACCTCAGCCCTCGCTGGACGCGCGTACGCCGCCTCCGGCCAGGCTGCATCGGCCCTGCACACGATGGCCGTGTTGCAGGTCTACCAGGCCAAACTCCTCCGGTCCATGGACGAGGCTGGCCCGGACCCGGAGACGTTTCGGGACCTGAGGAGTGCTACGGACTTAGCGCTGCGGGCTACTAAGTCTACAGCACAAGCCATCGGCAGAAACATGGCTAGTTTGGTCGTGCTCGAGCGCCACCTGTGGCTTAACCTCACCGAGATCAAGGAGGCCGACAAAACGAGGTTTCTCGACGCTCCGGTGTCCAGCTCCGGTCTCTTCGGCCCGGCGGTGAAGGGATTCTCGGAGAGGTACACGGAGGCACAGAAAGCGTCCCAGGCCATGCGACACTTCTTGCCGAAGCGTTCGGGCTCCGCGTCCAGCAAGCCCAAACCTCCGCCTTCGCCTCATCCAGCCAAGCCGGCGAAACAGGCCTCTCAGCCCCGCCCTGCGGCTGATAGCCAGCGCCAGTCAAGGCCCGCTAAGCGCTACCCGCTCCCCAGGCGTCAAGGCCCTCGACCCAGCGCCGCGGCCGACCAGGCGCCTCCGAAGTCGTCCTAGCACGGAGGGGAAAGAGAGAGGGCTCGTGTCTCGCGCTAGCCGGACCACCCTCGAAGAAACCAGCAAAACTTCCCACAGCTCCCTGTTCAGTTCAGGCGGCTGGGGATTTTATTATTGTAAACAGGCCCGCAGCAGTGAGCGCGTCTCTGCAAACAAACGCCGTTTTCACGGCGACCCAAATAAAGCACAAAAAGAGCATGTTTCACAATCACAACACACGGGTTCACGGTCCCCCTCCACTAGGCGGCCCCCGCCCTGTTGTAACACTGACTTCCCCCCAGGCAAAAGCCTATATAGTCAGTCAAACACTCAGTATGTGCACAAATCACATTATAAGGGTATCAGGTCCCCCTATGTTAGGCGGTCCCCCCCATTCAGTGTGTCACGCCCTAGCCACACGAGTGATGGCCTGGCAAGCCATCCCTGGTGTGTCGAGTTGGGTCATAAACACTATAAAGCGAGGCTACTCGCTCCAATTCGCTCGCAGACCCCCGAAATTCCAGGCGGTTATCGAGACATCGGTGAGAAGCGGCGTGAATCACGTGCTTCGCACCGAAGTTCAAGAATT